CAAGTTTCCAGGTATTTTACCAATTTCCCTTCTGTCCCGTATTTACCCAATGTATCATACTATTATTCATTTAGTGACTTAATTAATTTCCTTTAAACATCCTTTAAATGTTAAACAGCTTTTATGCAGGTTTAAATTAGAATCCAGTGGTTACCTCGGTGTTCAATTTGTTATTATTGTAGTTTATTCTATTTTTTAACTCCCAGCAGAAAGCTTATAAAATCTCAATAATAAGAATTCCAGTTTGTTTTCCCCAGCCATAGCAGTAAGTTACTTAAAATTTTCATCACTGTATTTTTATTTTTTTTAACAGCATAACCATTTGTTCTTTTTCTATTCATTTACCTGTCTGCTGAGGCTGCTTATGTTTGATTCTGTTTCTTGCCATTAAAAGGGCTCTGAGTTCTGTGGAATTCTTTTACCAAAAGAGTTTACTTGTATAAAATATCATACAACCTGGTTAAGTGGTTTTGTGATGATTTACTGCTTGCTATGTTTGACATGGTTGTAAGATTGGTGTGTACAAATGAAGAGAACTCATTACTCTCATGGGTATGGAACGTCTGAGTAAGTAATAAAATGACTCAAAGGCAAGGAGCAATTTTTTACCTCACCACTGCGACAGTGAGCAAATTTGAATTTTGGAGATTTTGAATATCACGTTGTGTCTCTGTGACCTTGGTGTCTGTTCTTAAAGTTGTATGTTACGAAGGAGTCTGTACCTGTTGCTGCACTGCTGCCTGAGTGATAAAATCAATGTATGTAGACGTTTTTTGTCTCATTTCTACTTCTTTTAATGGTAATACATTATCCTGATTCAGTGGTGTTTTCCACCCATCTTGCATTTTGCTTTTGAAAGCTAAGAGGCAGCAAAAACTGCTCATGGAAAGTCAAACCCAGTGACTGTGCTAAGCATTTTTCACTCGGGCTATTTTATCCGGTTACGTCAGCTCTGATCACATCTGAGCCTACTCACCCTGTTGTGAGCTTCTCGTCATCTTTTGTGTTCTAGGTTTGCTGAAGAACAAACTTTTTATTTTATAAAAGTGCCTTTGGTTGCTGAGGGCAAAGTAGCAAAACCATATGCAAGTGTGCTGTGTATTAAATGCCCACCAACTTGCCATTACTTAGAAGTCAAATTTTAAGAGTCTGACAGTTTTATGGTTTAATTCTTTTTATCCAGGGATTGTTTTCTTTTTCTTTTGGGAATAGATCTCTAGCTGTTTCTGTTTCAGGCCAAGATTAGAAGAAGAATGGAGGGTTGATTCCTCCCTCCCTCCTTTATGTACAGCTAATAAAATGTCTGCCTGCCCCACAAAAATGAGACCATCCTAATTTGTAGCTTCTTAAACAAGTGTGAGCTCAGGTAGGATTCCACAAATGGAACATATCAATTTGTGACAGGATGTTGAAACCTGAATTTTGGAGCAATTGCTACAGAATGACAAGTGGATTGTGTTTATTTTTCTTTTGGGGAATTGGCTTAATTAAAATCTTGACTAAAACAGCAGAATTCAATCAATCACTTTATTTCCCACAATGTTGGGTCAGTGACTGATTGGATGGCACAACAACTCCTGGGTATTTAAAGGAAGTGGAAGAAAAGATAAACCTTTTCACCAGCGGGTTTTATCTTAAAAGGAATCTGTGGTTAACATACTGGCAACTTCTACTGCTCACTCTCATGAAGGTCTTGGAGGAGAAATGAGGCATTTTCAAAGATGATTTAATTTTGTCCAGGCAGAAGTATTTTAAAATAAAGTATGATATATTAGCATTGTTGAAAGAAATGAATAACTAAAACAAATATTTTATGCTTAGCCAAATTTGGTACCTTTTCTGGTAAGTTTGACTTTGAATTGTGCACTTGTCCAAATATTTTATATTTCATTCTTTTTCTTGTCTCTCTCGTACATCCACCCAAGATGTTTATCTTTTGCCTTGTTTTTAATGTACCCAAGGGAAAAATAAAGTAGACTACTAGCCTTGCATTAAAAGCATGACTGATGGATCTATTTAAGCTCACAAAACCTCAGAGCATTTTCAGAGATGCAGCTGAAATTGGAGTTTGACAGCCCAACCGTAACTCATTCTCCAGGTATTGGTGAAGTCTCTAGCCAGAATTTAATGTTCCATTTGTTTCTACAGTTAAAATCACCATATTCAAGTACAGCAGTGCAAATTAAAGACTGAGTTTGAGCCCAATGTCTGCCTGTGATTGAACAGAATTTTTTTTCATGCTGGATTAAACCCTTAAATTATCAGGCTAAGAAGGAAATTTGCCTGCTGGTGAAAGCAGTGTGGGTCACTGAGCAGTACTAGGTTCGTCTGTGTGGGAGACGACTTTCCTGGAGGCTAATCCAGTTCAGCTGAATGGGAACTGGCTGAGGACCATTGCAGACCTATCTTTTAATCAAATTCTTTGGCCTTTCCTCCTGAAAAACGAATGTAGTTCATACTCATTATCAAAAGCTTCCAAAGAATACTCAGAGGATAGTTTGGGAGAAAATGAACTCCATATAGCAGGTGGCACACAAAGCCATAATCCTGTGGTTTACTGGCAGCTATGGTTTTGATCACCCATCCCATTATTAGACTATGCCTGTACTAGTAAATAAGATGAATAAGGCCTTCTTTTCTGACGCTAAAAATGACGGGCACGCCATGGCTTGTCTCCATATGGCTAAACCTTCTCCTCTCTGCAAACAGGTTGGCTTTATCCACGCTATTTGGAACAGCCATGGCTTGGGTTATCCCCTGAAGCATAGCCCAGGCATCTCCTGGGGGAGTGCTGGTTGGCAGGGGGGCAAAACTCTGCTGGAGGCCGTGTTCATTAAATGGTGTGGATGATTATGGACAGTGACTGAGCTAGCGACCTGATCCTGCTGAGTTTACAAAGTTAGGTGTAGTAATAAACCCTAAGGACCACGGTGAAATGTCTGTGATACAATAGAATAGTCTCCTAAAGGTAGAGTTAGTAAGTCTACAACGAAAAGCTCTACCAGTTCTTCACAGACGTGATTCGTGGTCCACAGACAAATTCAATTAAGTGTTTCCTTGTATCTGTAAGCTTAACCTGCAGACCCTCTCTGATGGAACTGAGTGTCCAGAAGGTGTGGAAATCCAACCTATAGGGACAGACGTTGCTTTTAGTTTACTCTCTTTCTTCAGGAATAGGTTTGTGAAAGGATTATTATCCAAGAAGTTTATTTAGCAGTGAATTTAGCTTCTCATTTTTTGAGGAGCTTTTCCAGACACAAACTGCAGGTCTGCTTTTGCAAGGAGCAGGTGGCTGATTGGTACCTTGCAGCTCCTGGCAAGCCCTGAAGCCTCACAGTAGTTATTAGAGCTCATTTGATACATCTGAATGACAATGAAATGTCCAACTCTGATTACATTTTTAATGGAATTAGAAAAGTGTCTGAACTTGTTAGAATATTTTTTTTTCTATCTAGGTACATTTCATGGCTGTGTCTTACTACAACTTGTAGTTATCCAACTATTTGTTGGATAAACCTTTTAAACTATTTGATGGTTCATTTCTGTTGCCAGTTTGGAAGAAGCCCTGGTATCACTTTATTGAAATAGAAATTACAGAAATACAAGGAGTGACTGTATAGTAAATGTTACTCTTGCTTACGCTGGATGATTTCCAGGCAACAGATTTATGACAAAATATGGTGTTTTAATGATGAAAGTACTAACAATTCAGAAGAATTACGTATTTGCAGGAAACATTCGGTTCTTGAAAGAAGCCACCTGGGTTTAGGTGAATGCTGTGGGCTAAACTGTTAGAGGGGGTAGGGCTTATTTTTACCATTAAATTCAGCAGTGCTTGGTGGACAGGTTGCACATATGAGATCCAGTGTTCTCATTGACTGTCTCAGCTTCTGCAGGTGTCAGCCTGAGAAGAAGTACCAGAGGGTATGTTCATAAGAAATGCTTCTTTACTAGAGTGCTCCAAGGTGAGGTTTGGTAGCCTTCATAGAGGAATTAAGTTTGGTACAAACCTACTGGGAATGAGTTGAGAGTTGCTTCAGCAATGACAGATTGTAGAACTGCTCCATTTGTTTGCTTGTGGTTTGTTGTCTAAAAACTGTGAGTGGTATATTTTGTTAAAAAATGTGGACAAAGAGTGGAGAATGATATTGATGATAGGAGGGAAGGAGTGGTAAATGGGGGTACTGCAGCGGGGTGCAGGCTGGGAGGGACTAGTGGCAGGCAAAGACAAGAGTGTAGCAGAGGTGGGAAGAAAAAGATTTCTACAAGAATCCAGAGAGAGTAGGGTTGGTTTAGTCCAGGGAGGCGATAAAGACTGATGTTCTGGAAAGTAAGACTGGATGAAAGGGACAGTTGCTCTCCTCAAGGATTTTTTCAGGGAACAAAAGCACCTTGCCAGTCTTCAATTTAGATTTTATGATCTGAGAAACTGGAGCAATAACAAGTAGGGGGAGATTGTAAGTTTAGGTGACTGCATCTCCATGCTTCCTCCTCATTCAATAACTTGAGTATTATGTTGTTTGCGTTCCAGTCTGAGATGCTTATTTGGAAAGGATTTTTTATAAAAGATGGTGTGTTAACTGCCTCTTCCCATACAAATAATTGCATATGGCTTATTTTTTATTCCTATATGTAATGGTATTATACATAAGTATTATTTCTAGTGGTGCTTGTGTAGATTTTTTTTTTCCAGAGTCCAGTTCTTTATCTTTTTTTATTGAATGCTACCTTATTGTGTGACTGTTCCCATTGATTTCACCTGAATTACTTAGTTATGTGTATATATGTGGACCAAAGGGATTTGCTTCATTTTTTCCAGAGTAAGTTTTTGTATTTATTGATAAAATAATTTAGTTGCAGGATTGATTGCTATGGAGTTAGTATTGAAAACTTGGTATAGATCTCATTCTAACTCACAAGTCTGTTGCTATTTAGAATTCTGATTCAAGGAAAAACAAGAGTGAAGGGGGAAAACCCAGTCATTTCTTTTTTTTCTATAGGCAATGTTCAGTCTCTGCATGGTTGAAAGTGAAGCTCATGAGGTGAATTTGCATGGTGTCACAAGCCTCGGTTTAAAACAAGCTCTGGACTTCGCATATACTGGACAGGTACTGTACAACTCCTCAAACTAAGAGACACAAATGAAAGCAAACTGCAATAAAAGCTGAAGGTGACCTTTACAGAGGTACCAGAAATTTTTCTCGTGCACTGCCCACTACAAGGTCTTTAGATTTAATAGATCTTACTTTTCATATACTGGCTTGGTTTGGTGTTTTGTTTTTTCTTTTTTTTTTTTTGGTTTCATTTCTTTAGTGGGATTGTCTAAGAAAAATGCTGTTTATGTGCATTGTTGCCAGGTAGTGAGCCATGTGGGACTTGTATACCCCTTTTGTGGTGGCCTGGCTGTTAATAAAGACTTCATCTGAGTTGATTCTGCGTGCTAATTTAAATGTAAAGAAAGGAAAAATACCCTAGGTGTTTTCTTACTAATAAATATTTATAAACTTTGCTGTGTTTGACAAATTATATAATTTAGGGGAAAAGTAGTCTCTTATTCTCTGGACAGATGCAGTCCAAGCATCTTTGTAAATGCTTATAGGTACTATACATCTTTTTTGTAGCACTTTTTGTGATAGCAGGTCATGTATCACATAACGTTACTTCAGAAAATGCAGAATGATGCTCCTCTTCACCTCATGCCCCCTCCAAAAAAAAATATGTATATATGACCTGTCATATCTCTACACTGAACGCGTGGAGAGCGTTGCTGTATGACTTCATCTCAGTTCAGAGTTCATGGATAGTGAGCTCAGAACACCCAGCTATTTTTGCTTTGGACTCTAGAATTCTAGATAACCAAACTATTTCTGGAAATATTGCTATAACAGTTGAATCCATTGGTGTATATTTGTTTATTAGTTAATTTTGAAATGGAAAACTTAAATCCATATTACATTATTCTGGAAGAGTTGTTGGGTCATACAAATTTAAGGCATTTGCTTCCGTACTGTGGATTGAGTGTATGTCCTTACCTTTTTTTCAAAGGTAATTAAATAATAATAAGGATAGAAAATTTTTTACCTGTTCTAAAGGAGCTATTTTTGGCACCAATCCACACAACCGTTATAATTTATCATTGGCCTTAGAGATTAGCACTTGAAACTTCTGTGTTTCTGCTGTTACGGAAAACATAACTTTTTCAAAGATGTCTTTGATGAAAATAAGAAACAGAGATGCCGTGCTATATTAATGAATTGGCTGAAGATCTCAGCACGTAAGTTGTCATTGGTTTGCTTTTGTTTTCTGAGTTGAAAGTTTTAATAGATAAAATTGAATGTCTCCTGTGCTGTTGAAAACCTGTATTTGAAACTATAGGTCGATTATTCTTCAGAGAGAACTTTTATTGCTGAATGGAAGTATCTTTTGAGAGAATGGGTTGTAATTGATTCTATCTGTCCCATCCTGTCTGCTGTGAATACAGGTATACTCCCCTATCTTTCAGCAAAGTTCAAAGTCTAATAAATCTATGTAAAATATGTTGAGAACCTTGAAAGGATGGATTTGGCTTTTATGTAAGCCAACAATCCACCCCACGTTGCTTCCAGGATACTATCCTCAGCTCCCTAGTAAATCATACGTGCCTTTTATCCTTGAGCCTTTAGAGACTTCCAAGTCTTTCTTGGATCTACTTTGAATAAATGAGTGGGCTTCTTGAGGTAAATACAGATGTGCATGTATCTACAGTTGCTCATATATATAAGTGATTATAAGACACAGTTTGCTCTGTCGTGTCTATCAGATACACCACGTGCTACTTTGAAGCACAGAGAAATGAGAAGGATTCTGTAGGAGTTCTCTTACAAAGATGCCTTTGAAGCATAACTCAGTGATGTGCAGGTCTGAGAATTAGCAGCATCGAGTTTTCCCTCCTGTCCTTGAAATACTCTTCTGGCACTCACTTTTAAGTATTGAGCATTGCTTGTGTACTGACTCAGGCTGACAGCATCAGTGTGAACGTTTCAAGGTAATGAGTGGGAGTAATCCACAAAGGCTATTAATAAATAACTGGATTACTGCATGCTTACATCAGAGAGAGTTTTGAAAACGGAGTCGTCTTTAGTTTAGGTCTGCGAACTCTTTCTGATTTCAAAAACAAACAAATGATTTTTTAGTAACCCAAAACTCATTCATGCCAATTACAACCCTATATTGCTCTGAAAATCACAGAATCACAGAATCACCATGGTTGGAAGGGACCTCTGAGATCATCGAGTCCAACCTTAAAAAAAAAAAAAAGCAAAAAACAAAAACCAAACCACATCTAAATTGACATAGATAGTTAGACACCAATATCAATATAGATATGGATCCATCTATTTCTGCCTTTCCTATCATCTGGCAAAAAAATGTGGGTATCAAGACATGATTTGATGCGCCTTTTAAAAGTGAAAGCCATAAACTCTTTTTTTTTTTTTTCCTTCTTTTTTTAACATGTTTGGCCAAAATATTAGTCAAAAAACATGCGGATTCTTTAGGTAACATTGTGGAACTGGCAACAATTTAGTGACAGTGCTAAGGTATCCGTGTCTAAACAGATAAATATTTAGTTTCAGGTTTCTTCTCTTCTCTCTGCTAAACTTTGATTGAAGTGTAGTAACACAAATGTAACTTTCTGTGTAAAAGAATATATTGGAGACATCTGGTGGAAATATTTAATATTGCAAGACGGCAATATTTGATGCCTGCAGTTTTTGAAAGTTACCAAAATTAAGAAATTTAATTTTTAGCATGACATTGCAATCTGAAATGAAACAGTCATCCTTGCCTTTTTTTTTTCTTTTCTTCTTTTTAATATGAAACATGCCTGCGGACTTAAAATACAAACTTCATCTTCCTGTCTACTTAGGCAGACAGTGCCTTATCATAATTACTGCTGGAAATATTTTGCTTTTAAGGGAAAATTGGTTGTTCAACAGAACAAAGGATTTTTATAAAACTCAAGTTATATATAAATAATATCATAATTCCAAATGAATGAATCCATTACTATGGTCTCTAATCATCACAAAGCAAGCAATGTTGCTGTGGAAATAAATAAAAACTAACAAAAGGGACATCAGCAGAATGTGGTTTTGTTTGATGCATTTAGATTCTCAGTAATCTTCTAATAATGAAATCTTTGGCAAAAAATGCCTTAAATAGGTTCCTTCTTGGCTGTAGGCATTTTACAATGTAATGCCCATATTCAGAATTCAGAGACAAAATTCTTCCTGTTGTAGTTGACTCTTTTTCCATTGTAGTTGACATACCCTTTCTTCATCAAAGGGCTTTAAGGTCCTTCCCTCACTTCACAGCTGGCAGCAGTAAGGCCAGGCCAGAGTCTCAGTGACGGGATTACTCCCCCTTCCTCCTCACAGGGGCATTTTGCAAGTGTCAGATGTGCATTGGAAGGGAGATGGATGAAGTACAATCAACACAGAAACTAGTGAGCAACCAGTATTTCATCTGCTGTTTCCAGTTAAGACCAAGGGGGAGACAGCTACCAATATTTTAGCACCTCCTGTTCTGTTAATCCTTTCTAGCTCACTTGTGAACGAGGTGTATTGCAAAGTTGTATTGTGATGGTTGATTTTCTTGGGTAAGTGCCTTCTTGCATCTTGTGTGTAGCATTTCCACTGGTTGCCTTTTAATCAAAATAAATCATAGAGTTTGTTTGAACTGCCTGGTGTCCCTAGAAAAAGTGACTTCAACTATCCTCTTTCTTTTCTAGCGGGGACAACATGCCAAGGTCATGGAAGACTGAATACAGCAGGACTATGTCTTATTCTAAATACTTAACATCATTTTTCAATCCAATTTCAAAGCAAAAAGTATAAATTTGATAGTTTGGGACATTTCCTTTTTTACTTCTATCAGGAGGATAATCTTGTTTCTGTCCCTACCACTATGTAAAGTTGTTAGGTTCACAGTTCAGCTAAAGATTGCCCAGAAAGCTTAGAGCCTAATTAACCCTGTTTATGCAGTTTATTGCAGAGAAAGTTAAATGTTTTCTGTTATTTGCTCTGGATAGATACCAAGCTATAGACAAGACAGCTTTTCTAGAGCTGAAAGTAATCAAAGTAATGAAAAGTTATCCCAAAAAATAATGAGTTTGCTTGGAGTCTTACTTATAATAATGGGACTTACTTTGTAATGTTATGAAGCTGCATCAGGGAAAGTTCAGGCTGGTCATTAGGAGAAGGTTCTTCACTGAGAGGGTGGTTGGTCACTGGAACAGGCAACCAGGGAAATGGCCACAGCACCAATCCTGTCACAGTTCAAGGAGCATTTGGACAACGCTCATAGTCGTGTGGTTTAGTTTTAGGCACTCCTGTGAGGAGCCAGGAGTTGGACTAGAGGATCCTTATGGATGCCTTCCTACTCGAGATATTCTATGATTCTGTGATCTATATGCTGTGCATTTAACACAGATTTTAATTTAATTTTCTGGAAAAATATTATGACACACATCAGAGAAAAGCTGGTCGTGATTCCTTCTGGCATTGGCTAATGAGACATCTGGATTTTGTAATGAGTGCTATCATCATTACGTGCCAGGGCTTTGGGCAGTTGCCTGCAGGGGACTAGAACATTCTTCCCCTACTCACACTTTTTTGAAGCAGCACTCCTCAACGTGGAGGGAGCTCAGGATTCAACTGAAGCACAAATGATCAGGGAGACAGGCAGAAGTGCTAACTGGTTGTGAGTGAAATGCAGTCTAAATTGCTCTAAAAGAAAAGTTAGGTTTTTTGATTGCTCTGAAGCACACAGAATGGTCTCCAGAGGGGAAAAACAAGTGGTACTTTTGTTAGATGCCTGTCTCGTTTGAAATGCTGATCACTGCAAGCTCAGTCAAGAAGGAATTTTCTTTCGCATCAGACTGGCAGGAATCTTAGGAAATATTTTTTTTCTTGTTTTCTGTGTAAAATTCCATATGGTTTCCTTTCTAGAATTTTCTGACATGACATTACATATTTCCTTACTGTTACAGCATAATGCTGTTTGTTTTTAATGTGAATCATGCCCCCGCCTCACTTATTTCATGGCCCCACAAACACCTCTATGGAAA